ATTAGCACCCGCAGCAAAAATACATTCAAATAATTTTTTATTTCATGAGTTAAAGCTACTGGAACTTTTGAAAACTGTATAGGAAACACTTTTGTTTCTTCTTCTGAGCGTTTTCCTGCAAGTGCAGGATCTACTTTTTTTTGATCAAATGAGTGCTGATCCATTGGTGGAGGTAACCATCTTGTCACCTGAGCCTGATGTCATGGGGTGAGAAAGATCCAAAGTCACCCAGCCAGCAATCAAGTGGAATTAGAATTCAATCTTAACCCCTAGACCAGGGGTAGGCAACCTTGGCTCTTTTATGACTCGTGGACTTCAATTCCCAGAATTCCTGAGCCAGCCAAGCTGGCTCAGGAATTCTGGGAGTTGAAGTCCACGAGTCATAAAAGAGCCACAGTTGCCTACCTCTGCCCTAGACCAAACTGGCTCTCTCTGTCTAGGAATCATGTTTAGAGTATATAATAAGCCTGGCTCCCCAGCCAGTATTTTGGTTTTCGAAATCATTTTCAGCAATTACAGGTTGTCCTTGACTTAACAAATGTTTGCTAAACAATACTTCAAAATAAAAACAGCTCCAAAAAAGTCAGTTATGACCTGAATTAGGCCTTACTACTATCACCCCATTTGAGTGGTCACATGATTGCAATTTGGGCACTTGGCGGTCAGCCCACATTTATGAACAGTTGCAGTGTCACATTGTCATATGATCATAATTTGCAATGTTTCTGCCAAACAACAGCAAAGCCTACCATCAGTTAAGCTAGATTCCCCTTACAACCCTGTAAGTTGACTTATGACTGCAGTAAAAATGGTTGTAAAATTGGGTCCTGTAATATGTAACTCAATTTATGACTGCAACAACTTATGACAGAAATCTGGTCACAATTGTGATCAAAAGTCAAGGATTATCTTTAGTCAAAAAGATTAGTTTATGTGAATATTTGTATTACTTGCAAAATCCAGAATATTGTTATAAATCTCATCTATCCTGCTATTATGTTTGCTTTTATAAACATTTGTATACTGCTTATTGCATATTCTATTATAAGAATATAGTAAAATATATATGCACACCTTCAGCATTGCTTCCCAAGAAGAACAAATAATGGAAAGTTGAATGAAATTTGCTGAAGTTTACAGTTCTATAAGATCTTAAAGTTCATCACCAAAATTTTGAATTGGACCTGGAAAATCAGTAACCAATGCTAAGTCTTTTTACCACCAGTTAGCAGAAAGGCCAATATGTTCTGGACCAGCTGCAACTTCAGTGTCATTTTCAAAGGCAGCCCCACATAGTGTATTGCAGTGTCTAACAGTGATGAGTTATTGTCATCAAGGCCTCCTGGTCCAAAGAGCATGTAGTTGGCATCTTAGTCAAAGCTGGTCTGGAGCTGTGAATCCAAAATAAATTCTAACAAACTAACTAATTAAAACATTTATTCCATAATTAATATTCTTATCTCAACAAATAACTGGAACATCAGCAGTTTTACCAATATCCAGATGGTAAAAGTTCATTTCTCTTGAAATTGTTAGCTAACAATGAGCTGGGCTTGAATAGGAATAAAGTCTTGATAAAGTACAGTCATGTGAAAAAGAAAATACACCCTCTTTGAATTCTATAATTCTATCAGGACATAGTAAAAATCATATGTTCTTAGCAGTTCTTAAAAATATGCAAATAAACCTTAGATGAACATCAACACATGACATATTACACTGTCAGCATCTATTTCATAAAAAGAGAGCCAAAATGGAAAAGCCATGTGTGAAAAACTAAGTATACTTTATGATTCAGTAGCTTGCAGAACCATCTTTAGCAGTAGTAACTTGAAGTAATCATTTTCTGTATTACTGTATGCTTCTCACATTGTTGTGAAGGAATTTTGCCCCACTCTTCTTTACAACATTGCTTCAGTTCATTCGTTTATCTACAACTCTTTTGAGATCCCACCATAGCATTTCATATGTTTTAGCCTCCAGGCTCCTAATCATCTTTGTTGCTCTTTTCTGCACTATTTCCAGAGTAGCGACCAAACTGCTGGCTCATATTTAAGTGGTTGTCTACTAGGACTCCTAGATCCTTCTCGCAGTTGCTGCTATTGAGCCAGGTTCTATACCTGTACATTTGGTTTTTCTTACCTAAGTGTAAAACCTTACTTTTCTCACCACTGAATTTTATTTTGTTAGATAGGGCCCAGTGTTAAATCTGTCAAGATCCTTCTGGAGCTTGAGCCTATCGTCTGGGGTGTTTGCTATTCTTGCCAGCTTGGTGTCGTCTGAAAATTTGATGAGTTCCCTTGTCTATTCCCTCATTTAAATTGTTTATGAAGATATTGAAGGGTACTGGACCTAAGACAGAACCTTGGAGTATCCCACTACTTACTTTCCTCCATGTAGATGTAGTACCATTAAGGACTACGCATTGGAAGTGGTTTGTCAGCCAGTTACAAATCTATCTCGTGATGGTATTGTCTACCCCACATATTTTAACTTACTAAGAAGTATGTTGTGGTCTACTTTGTCAAATGCCTTACTGAAATCCAAGTATCCTATGTCCACTGCTTTTTGCTGGTCCACTAATTTAGTCACTTTGTCAAAGATTGAAATAAGATTTGTTTGACATGATCTTTTTTTGGACAAATCCATGTTGGCTGATTGTAAGGTGACCAACTGATTGTAAGGTGACCAAGCCCCACTGCCCACCCTGCACATCCCCGTAGAGCCGGCCCCGCGGCTCGCAAAGCACCAGCTGCGCCGGCTCCGGCCCTGCAGCCGCCCTCCAGCACCACCGCCCTCCAACACCACCGCCCACCCTGCACATCCCCGTAGAGCCGGCCCCGCGGCTCGCAAAGCACCAGCCTTGCCGGCTCCAGCCCTGGCCCTGCAGCCGCCCCCCCCAGACCCCCCCAAACCCCACCGCCCACCCTGCGCATCCCCGTAGAGCCGGCCCTGTGGCTCGCAAAGCACCAGCCATGCCAGCTCCGGCCCTGCAGCCGCCGTCCCCCAAGCCCCACCGCCCCCTCCTATTAGTGGATCTTTTTTTTAACTTTTTTCTTGTTTTTTATAGGGTTGAAAGAAATCTTTTTTTATTATTTTTGTCATTTGCAAATCTTACTACACTCTGAGCCTTAGCTTTCCTGACTTCATCTTTGCAGATTCAGGCTATTTATTGGTGTTCTGCTTTAATTACATTTTTTAAAAATATTAATCCTTATAACTCTTCCCAGGTTATCGGCAGCAACAATTGCTTCTCTAAGATCATTGCTGATGTCTTTCCTCTTTGGCATTGTGTTAAGATACACTCAGTGCTGGAGACCAGTAAATTCTTAAAACTTTGGCTTTTATAGAGGTAGTCACACTTGCTAATGATCAATTGGTCAAGGGCACTTGATTAACTGCACCTAGTTACTATTTAGCCTCTTCATGCCTATAAAAACAGTAAAAGTGTACTTAGTTTGTTACAGATGGATTCTTCATTTTGGATTTCTTTTTGTAAAATAAATGATATGGTGTAACATATCATGTGTTACTGTTCATCTGATGTTGTATTTACCTGCTTTTAAGATCTGCTAAGGACCAGATTATTTTTTAGTATGTCCTGATACATAAAACCATAGAATTCAAAGAGGGTATACTTTCTTTTTCACATAATTGTAGTAGCTTGCCTTGTATATTACTGTATAAAAATCTAAGAGACTTTTCTAGTTTTTAACTCTGTTCTTTTTTTTTAAAGTAACAGCAACAGTAAGCAAATTCTAGAATACAATAGATCTGTGAAATAGACCTTGAAAATTAATGTTCCACTCTTCAAATTTAGAAAACTTAAATTTCTAAATTTAAGAAATGTAAAATGTTTGCATAATATAAGAGCTAAAGAAAACAGTTTTTGTTGTTTTAGAAATGCTTGTTTCATATGCCATCAGAATAGATCTCCAAATAAAAATGGATCTACCTACTTTCCACCTCAGGCAAATGGGCACAGCAATCCAACATATGCCTCCTAATATTTATATATAGCTGTTATGTTCTTATACTTGTGCACAGCCCAGAGACATTGTGTGGGGGAGATGGGCAGTTTCTAAATTTGATAAATAAATAAATATCCCAAATGATGTACCTACTCCTTCAGAGAAAATGCAGCACTATAGAGGTATATTTTTCTGCTCTTGGCAAGAAAAAGAATGTGGAAAATAAGTTATATCTCAGCCAGCCAGCCCAAAATATTCTCTTAAAACAATATTCTGTATATCTTCAACAATAATAGTAATAATGGTTGTGCCCTATTTTCTATTAACATTGTAATTGCTGTGGTGATGCAATGGTTCGAATGCAGTATTGCAGGTAATTCGATTCTGACTGGCTCGAGGTTGGATCACCATTCCATCCTTTCGAGGTTGATAAAATGACAATCCTGATTGTTGGGGGCAATATGCTGATAGTAAACTGCTTAAAGAGGGTTGTAAAGCACTATGAAATGGTATATAAGTGCTATTGCTATTGCTACTTTCTTATTTAAATATCAGAGAAGTTCTGGGAAATAAAATAAATTGGAGTCTAAAAAGTTAGAACTTTATCTCCACTTAGTAAACCTCTGTCTACATTTTTATTTTGAAATTTGCTATTTCAAATTATACTTTTCTATATGCATATACTTTATAGAGACATAAGGTCATTGGGGAATTTCTTCACCTTGTCAATAGGAGTAAGATTGTAGCCTGAAGTAATTCATATCCTTTGATGCAGGTCTTGTGTATGACACCTTGATGCTGAAACACCAGTGCATTTGTGGAAACACAAACAGTCATCCAGAACATGCAGGGAGAATCCAGAGCATTTGGTCACGGCTTCAGGAAACAGGTCTTCGTAGCAAGTGTGAGGTAATAGATGAACTAATAGAATGGAGGGACAGTGGGTTTGGCAGCAGAATGTTGCAGCAGATGTTGCAGCAGAAATTTCTGAACTACATCACTGCTGACCATAGTTGTTTTTCATGTAAATTATCAAAGAAAATAGAAGATGTGTTTTCTGTTATTCTAGGTATATTTTTAAATCTATTATTCTGTGATTCAAATCTTAGAATTGAAAGAAACCATTTAGGCTAGGGGTTGGCAACCTTCTTCAGCATAGGGCACAGAAACTATATTGCCATTTTTCTGGGAGACTTATTGCTCTTCCCACACTGAGATGGCTGATTAAGCCATTGACAAAATGACTGCCTGAGAAGGCAACGAGTACTCTGTCTTGCTTGGACTAGGTGAATGTATTTCTTTTGGGACTGGATGTCAGGCCACAGGTTGCCAACTCCTACTCATGCATATAGGAATCCAGATTAAAGCATCTGTGCCAATATATTCCTCTCACCCTTCATAGAAATGCAGGCAATGAAAAGAAAACCCATACCTATCTCAATTATTAGTTGCATGGCTGAATTGGTCTTATATCTCAATAATTCAATTATTGAATTTCTGCCTTTTGAAAATTCAGTTTTCCAGAAGTCACAGCCAGTGAATTTGTTGACAGTGAGGAAATAAATTGTCATGATTATTCTTGACAAATCCCCGGTACTGAGAATTAAAGCTTCTCCTTGTTTCTCTGGGGATCTTAAAACAGCTAGAGCACAAAGGGTATACAATTTGTCACAACTATGGACATAGTTTGGTCTATGTCACTGAATCTGTAGCATGGCACTGAAAATGACAACATTTATTTTAAGGTTCAATTACAACCTCAAGTAGTTGTCCCGAGGAGGGATGGAGGGTTTTTTTAATCTATCCTAGAAAACCCAGTATTGGAGCCTCAAATAAATATTGTGATAGATTTACAATGCACTTTAAGCATTAGATAACTTAGTTTTTTGCCAGTTTGAAGACTTCTTTGATGTGATATTTGCTGAGTTACTCAGTATGTGATGTGTTTCAATTAGGTAAAATCACTTTCAGTTTATGAGGCCTGAAAATATGGACAAGATGCCTATGGTTGTCTACCTTATGATATGCTCCCTTGACCTCCCCTAATTTGGCTTATTGGAACCAGGTAGGGGAGGCTTATGGGGGGGGGAATCTTCCCTGGATCCAGAGGACTTTATAAACTATTGTCCATTTAGTGGGTAGTTTATTGAGGACAGGGTGCTTGAGAGGATGATAAAAATGCTTTATATGTATTTGGAGGACACCATTTATGTCAGCCCTTTCAATCTGTGCTTAAACTGATTTGGGTACAGAATCAGCTATTGTATAGATGAACGCTTGCAGAACAGAGAAGAGTGTATGACTTTGTTGAACCTGCTTGATTTCACAATAAATTTTAATCATGGTATTTTGTAGACCATCTCTGTGAGGTAGGGATTGGGAGAACTTGGTTAAATTGGTTCCCGTTCTACTTCAAGGATAGAAGTCTTAATCTTGATGGCTATGGTAGACAACCTGGCAGCTATGCTATGATGTCCCACAGCATACCATTTTGTCCCCTATGCTATTTAACATTTGCATGTAGTTTTTGCCGCTGTAGGGTCACATGATGGCTAGGAGTGTCTGTTATCAACTTTAGCTGTTATAATAACTACACTGGTTCCTACAGAATGACAGCCTCTCTATAATATTTCATGCCATGGTGACTTCACATTTAGATTACTGTAAAGTGGAGCTATTTTTAACATTTGTTCTGGAAGATGTATCTGCTTATAGAATATAACTAATAGATTGCTGTGAGGCATCTAGCTACCCATAAATGCACTGGGTAGTTGCCAAGCCAGGTTTATAACATATAATTCATAAATAACTTGGGACCAGATTGTTGGTCAAATTGCCCCTTCCTTCCATTTCCAATAAATAGATTTCTTTATTTCAGCTCCTTATCAAGCTCCCTTATTCAATGACATTGGGTCCCTTATGTTTCTTTCTAGCATTGTTTGTGACTGCACTATGATTTCAATTCCCCTTTCAAGAAGTTCCAGCTGGCTACTACATTTTTAAGGTTTTCTTTCTACTGGGATCTTCCTTATTGATTTTATTTAATCAATCTTGGTTGATTAAAATTGACCCGTCTAACATTCATGATTTGTCTTTGACTGTTTTTACTGAACATTTTTGTTAAAAATCAAGAAGTTTAACAATGCACCAAAAATAGTGCCACTGGACACATATTCAGGTAAACTTAATCCTAATGGCAGTGCTATTTCACTCCTCTCTTATATGTCTGTCATTTTGAAACAAGGTGCACCCATTCAAACCTAATGTTACACTGGTGAAATTCTGATTTATATATTTTATATGATAATCATATAAAATAGTATTTTATAAAGGCTAAGAAGCTCCCTATTCTCTTAGTTGCAATAAAGTACTGTGCAATACCACCATCTCCCTTCCCCCCTGTACCCTTGGTGCAGCTTATTTCAGACAATGCAATTGGCATATGCATTTCTGCCAATTTTTGTGTGAATAGAGCAGCTGTATGAAAACATCACAGGTGGGATACATATCCTTGCTCTTTCATCTACATTTGTATTAAAGATTGTTTTTCGTTGGTATATTAGATGATAGGAAACAGCTTTCATTCATTCACTTATAGCTAGTGAAAATCCTGGCTGCTTTAAAGGGGATTTTTTTTAATTCTAGACACCTGTAAGGTGTCTTCCATTTATGCATTCAGCAAATATTATAAAATTGACCATGCATTTTTCTTCTTACGGCAGAAGATTCTTTAGAGATTCTGGGATTAAAGTTCCTGATCTCGTTCTGCCACCCTTAATTTCTCTATTATGTCCATAGTGGGTTTTTTGGAAACTTTGGGGAAAATGTAAATTTTCTATAATTTCTCTTCAAGAAACCTCTAGAAGGGGTTAGAAGGGCATGAAGGTTAATAGCCATTTGTTCTGTGTCATTCTGATGTGGGCAATATGGGCATTTCCTTCTCCTGACAGAGGTGGTCCTGCTTTATAAGTGCCAGAAGAAGTACCATCTCTAAGTCAAAGAATGTCTATCTCCCTCCATGAGGATCCTAGAACAGAAATTTGTGATAAGAATAGTCTTGTTTTTCTGCCTCTTATTTTGCCTACAATTATTCAACATTTCAGACTTAAAATAGAGAAGCCTTGTGAAGTCAGTGCATTTCTGATGTAATCTCTTTGAACAGTGGCATTTGTGTACACATTTATTTATATTTTTCTGTTTGGGATGCTGTTTATTCATCAAGGAAAATGGAATTTCACTTGCTTCCTTTTCTCCTGTAGTGTATCCGTGGAAGAAAAGCAACTCTAGAAGAATTACAGACTGTGCATTCAGAAGCACACACACTGATTTATGGTACCAACCCTCTGAACAGACAGAAATTGGACAGCAGGAAATTGTTAGGTACAACAAAAAATGTAATGTTACCTGCTTTCCAGTTGTTCATTTTGATTTAGGAATCTATAGATACAAAGTTCACTTAATCTAGGAATCCAGAACTTAAACCAAATTGTTGTATGCTTTGGTACCTTCTACTTGACAAACTTTCCCATAAAGGCATGCTTTTGCAATTTATTTTTCCTCTTGGAGACATTTTACTTATATATAGTATTCTAATGTTATACTACATTGAATTGAAAATTGTACACACAGATATGCAGGTATATTTTTCTGTCCAGATCAGTCAACCTTTTCATAAGGAACCCATAATTTAAAATATCTATGTATTTTAGCTATTAAATTTCAGTTTGTACCAATTTAAATTAACGTTGCAAAGAAATTTGTTAAAAAGTCACACAATTTTTAATAAGCATATTCATGTAGTAACACTGCCATAGAACCAATATGGATGCAGTCATCTGGAAAAAACATTGATAATGTCTTTATATATTTTTTATTTTTTGCAATTCAATGGAAGTTGGAAAGAGATTATGTAAAGGGAATTGAGACTTTCTTTGTCTATCATCACCACAACTCTGGCAGCTGAACAGAATATATAACTAAACTTCATTTGGGAAGATAAGCTAACAAAAGAGAGATCAAATTTGAAGTGAGTTAGATAATGCTAGGAGCTATGAAGAAAATAGTTCAGAAAACATCCTCCAGAGCAACTCTGTGGGGAAGGCAATTTAGCAATTTGGAATGCTGCCAGTTGCTCCAGTCCAAGTTCTTCTCATTTCTTCCCCTCAGTCATATAACCCAGAGGGACCCTATTCTTTCCTATTATTTTTTAGTATTCAAGAAACTGCAGTCTTTCCCTACTTTGTTTATCCACTGTATTTGGCAATAATCAGTATAACAGCCTTGTTCTTATATACATGTGATATGAATTATTCTCTAATGTAAAATTGGATTTTCTGAAATAAATGTAGATTTGTTGTTAAAATGTTTTTAACAGCAAAGGTAGGTCCAGTGGTTCTAGCTAGAAACCAAGAAACTGAGTTCTAGTCCTGCCTTAGGCACAAAAACCAGCTGGGCGACTTCGGGCCAATCACTCTCTCTCAGCCCAACTCACTTCAAAGGATTGTAGGAAAAATAGGAGGAGGAAGGAGTATTAGGTATGTTTGCTGCCTTAAGTTATTTATAAAAATAAAAAAGATTGAATTAAAAAATATTTTAAAAGAGTGCAAATATTAACCAAATATTAATAATAGCACAGTGCTATTAATATTATGTTCTCAAAAAGCATGAAATGTATGTTAATTATTCATGTTTAGGATTCATGCAGTAATTCCCCCTCAGCCTGTTAAAACAAGAGTCATATGTCACATCAAATGACTTTTGGTACATTTGTTATGTCAGAGATTTTGTAGATCATGGAAGCATATATTAATAAGTATGTTACTCTTTTTCTGTAAGGGTCTACCAAAGTACTCTTGAGGACTTTTCCTTCAGGAATTTTTATCTTCATACAAACTTAGCTTTTTGATTGTCCATTTTGGATCAGATTGAGACATGATTTTACTGTTCTGGGCCCAGTGCTCTTCAACATCTTCATCAACGATTTGGACGAGGGGATAGATGGGGAAATCATCAAATTTGCAAATGACACCAAGCTGGCAGGAATAGCCAACACTCCAGAAGACAGGCTTAGGATACAGGAGGATCTGGACAGACTTGAACACTGGGCGCTATTTAACAAAATGAAATTCAATGGTGAAAAAAGTAAGGTTCTACATTTAGGCAAGAAAAACCAAATGTACAGATATAGTATAGGGGGTACCTAGCTCAATAGTAGTAACTGTGAGAGGGACCTCGGAGTCCTAGTGGACAATCTCTTAAATATGAGGCAGCAGTGTGCTGCAGCTGCCAAAAAGGCCAACACAATGCTAGGCTGCATTAACAGAGGGATAGAATCAAGATCACGAGAAGTATTAATACCACTTTACAATGCCTTAGTAAGGCCACACTTGGAATACTGCATCCAGTTTTGGTCACCACGATGTAAAAAAGATGTTGAGATTCTAGAAAGAGTACAGAGAAGAGCAACAAAGATGATCAGGGGACTGGAGGCCAAAGCATATAAGGAAAGTCTGCTGGAATTGGGATGTCTAGTTTAATGAAGAGAAGGATGAGGGGGGACATGATAGCAGTGTTCCAATATTTCAGGGGCTGCCACAAAGAAGAGGGAGTCAAGCTATTTTCCAAAGTGCCTGAAGGCAGGACAAGAAGCAACGGATGGAAACTAATCAAGGAGAGAAGCAACCTAGAACTAAGGAGAAACTTCCTGACAGTTAGAACAATTAACCAATGGAATAACCTGCCTCCAGAAGTGGTGAATGCTCCAACACTGGAAGTTTTTAAGAAGAGACTGGACAGCCATTTGTCTGAAATGGTATAGGGTTTTCTGCCTGAGCAGGGGGTTGGACTAGATGACCTCCAAGATCCCTTCCAACTTTATGATGATGATGATGATGATGATGATGATGATGATGATGATGATGCAACATGGATGATTTTCTGGATATTATAGTCAGTTAAAACTAGGAACCCTTAAGATTACATATTCCTGTAAATCAGAGCATTTTGATGGGCACAAAAATATCTTGCATGTTTTTAGGAAATTGATATTCTACTGCAGCTAAACGAAGCCCCAGTCATGATGAATATTGTTCTTGGGAAATACAGTTACAGTATATTGCTTTGTTAATGTTTGAATAAAGAGGGGTGCTTCTTTATTTTCTGCCACACTTCTTTGGAGACAAACAGTAGACAATTTGGTCAAATTTCAAGAATCCAAGTTCATTTTAATTATTTATTTATTAACTTTATTATAGCCTGCTAGTCTAGAAGACTGGGTGACTTACAATATCAAATAAATAGTTAAAACCAGTTAAAAGACACATAAAAACATGGCTAGCCTGGGCTAAAATAACCATACTGAACTGACAGATAACTGACCCAATAGTTTCATATAGATACTAAACAGGAGGAGGAAAGCATGTAATGCAGGGGTCCCCAACACCCAGTCCATGGACCAGCACCAGTCTGTGGCATGCCAGCAACCGGGCCTCATAAACAAGCGAAGCCCCACCTCTGGGATGCAGGCAGCACACAAAACTATGCCCCCTTCAGTCCATGGAAAAAGCTTTCTTCACGGAATCAGTCCCTGGTACTCAAAAGGTTGGGGGCCGCTGATGTAATGGTCTTGTGATAAAGATTCCCAATTCCTTTTTTCTTTCCCCTTTTTAATTGTACATTCTAGAGAAAGACTAGAAACAAAGAGAAATAAAGCAGTAAAACACAAATAAGTAAACAAGTTCTAAAATATAGACATATCATAGAGATAGTTTCCAATATACCATTGGAAACAGTCAATTAAGAATTAAATTTTAAAGCTTAAACTTTAATAAGAGTACATATTAGGAACCATGATCAATACAATTTAAATAACTGATTATAAGCTACAATAATTTGAATCTGTATTGGAAATCTATTGTAATTGGAGTATCCCATGAAGTTAATTCTGTACATAGACTATAGTTTTTGTAGATTCTGTACATAGAAATTTTGGATGAAGTGTAAAATCCATGTGTTAAGTTATAGTCCAAGAGTCAGAGCGCACAGTCTTATTGTGCTGAGGTAATCCAGGAATAAATACAATAAACAGTGGTTTGTATTAAATGGTGGTTTATATTACACTATCTACAAATATACACTAGAAACAAGATACATACACGTGGTGAAACAGCGAACTCCAATATACAGCAATTACAGCAGTCAAACGGACGAGAGAGAAAGACTCCAGCAAGGCCTTCCCTTTTATACTCAACCTCTTAAAGGGATACAGACTCCTGCTGAGTCATTCCTATTATTGCATCATCCACCTTACATTGCATTACATCATTACATAAGCTGTTTGGCTATTAAATTATTATCCTGACACCAAGAATGGTTTCCAAATAGAATTGAATTCTGTGTCAGATAAGATACAAAGTTATTTTGTACATTGAAACATACTCCAACAATTTGGACGGCCATTCTTCCAAGGAAGTAATCGAACAACCCCTGGGCGGTTAACATATACAAAGCTAATTCAGCATATTTAAAAACATTATAGATTGGGAAAATTTAGTTTAAAAACTGCAGGATGAAATAGAAATTAAACTTTAAAAAATTGTTTTATTCTTATATGGATCATTGTACAAAGTTATTGAACTTTATAACATTGCCACCAAATATGAATAAAGTGATCCAACTTGCTATTACATTTCTTTCAAGAGTTTTAATTAATACCACTAAAATACAAAAACAAACAGAAAAATAAGCAATAAGAGGAAAAGCAGTAAAATAAAATTAACATAATCAGATAACTGCATGCAATGGCACTTTATAAAGCCCTGGCAAAATGTATATCTAAAATAACCAATTAAGTCTTTCTAACTCAGACTATAATAATAACGTTGGTCAGATTCATACTGTTCAACATTTTCTGCAAATCAAGTTCTCACAACAGTAGGGCAACATCTATATATCAGATAACCTTCATTTAGTGACTATAATTGGAACCAGCAACTCAGTCACTAAGTCACATGGTTGCTGTGGAAAATAACATGAACACACAACTGTGCTTATGATTTTACTGCAGCTTTCCTTTGCTTAACAGCATCAGAAGTATATGACCCCATACAGCTGGGCAAATCCAAACAGTGGGGAAGGTTTCCAGAACTCTATGAGGAAGTTGGTAAAGGGCAAATGTTATAGCCCTTTGCCCCTATTTCCCCACTGATTCACTCTGGTTCTGGGATAATTAGCAGAAAGAGAATTAATGTTTTTATTTATATTCTTTGGAGAGGAAGGTATTATAAGAGAGTAAGTAGGCACATAATCGGGAATACATAAATTGAAATGAATTCACTAGTGCCAGCTATTTGCCGAATACACTAGGCTCCAGCCCCGAGGTG